GGGCGAATTCCTGGTTGGTTTTGTCCCCCAGGAGGGTTTTGGGATACAAACGCTGGGCGAATTCCTGGTTGGTTTTGGGATACAAGCCCAGGGCGAATTCCTGGTTGGTTTTGGCCCCCAGCAGGGTTTTGGGATACAAATGCTGGGCGAAGCCCTGGTTGGTTTTGTCCCCCAGGAGGGTTTTGGGATACAAGCCCAGGGCGAATCCCTGGTTGGCTTTGGCCTCCAGGAGGGTTTTGGGATACAAAGCCTGGATGAAGTTGCCCTGGTCGGTTTTGTCCCCCAGGATGCATCATCCCAGGCTGGTTTTGGGATGCAGACCCTGGGCGAATCCCTGGTTGGTTTTGTCCCCCAGGATGCATCATCCCAGGCTGGTTTTGGGATGCAGACCCTGGACGCAGGTGCCCTGGCTGGGTCTGACCCCCGGGATGCACAAAACTGGGATGGCTTTGGGATACAAGCACTGGGTGAAGGATCCCTGTCTGGCTCTGCCCCCCTGGCTGGAGTGGCTGCACTCCTGGGGGGATGAAGCTTCCTTGGAAATGGGTGACAGGATGAACCCCACCAGGCTGGGACAGAAGCCCTGAGTGAGCCGGATTAGAATTGTGCTGGATCCCGGGAAGCACTGAGTCAGGCTCGTACCGTGCCACAGTGTGAACCTGCTCCAAGTGATCTTGGGATGTGAAGTGGGATCCCGTAAGGGTAAGGGAGGACTCAGAGACCTGGTGCAGGCCAGTGTGGGAGAACACAACCCCGTTGTCCCGGGCCTGCTCCCGCTTTCCATCTGGGAGCATCTCAGAGCCACCCGGCTTGGGGCAGGTCATGTTGACCTCGTAGGAGGTGACCGGGATCCCACTGGACAGCAGCTCCTCCAGCTGCACCCGCAGGATGTAGCGGTTCTCCTGCAAGGGGACACGAGGGACAGTCACCCCCATCCTGCTAGAGGGGACCACAGAGGGGACAGGAGCATCACCTTGAACAGGACGTGGCAGCCGTTGTAGCCGGAGGAGAAGATGATGGAGCCATCCTCCCTGGAATTCAGCCAGTGGAGGCAGATGGAACAGTTGGCCACGTCAAAGTGGGAGCCAAACTCATCTGGGGGGACACCATGGACACAGGGAAGTGACACATCCAGGTGCATGGAAAGCCCCTGGGCAGCAGCAACAGCTCATCCAAGCCATTGGGCTCGTCTCTCTGGGATAACATCACCATGGAACTGGTTTGGGGGGAATCTCAGGGAAATCCAGCACCCCAAGGGGATCCAGGGATCCCCCCACTCACCCAGAACCTTGAAGCGGACGGTGCGGCCGTGGGATGGGAGGACCAGGAGCTGCATTCCCAACTCTCCGCATTCGTGGCGGTACTGCAGGAGTGCCACGGTGGCTCTGGGCCACGGGGACAGGAGGAAGAGGAGCAGGAGGAAGGAGCAGCTCCGTCCCATGGCACTGACACAGACAGAGCACAGGGCTCTGCAGGGTGGATTTATATCCAGATGGCTGGGATGCAGGGGGGAGATCAGGGTCAGCTGATCCCACGGGACGAGCTCTGCCCAGGGCTCCTCGCTCTCGTGCCGCCAGTGACCTCGGTGCCCCGGCCCTGTGGTCACCTCCTGTGGCCGTGTCACGGTGACCAAGGACAAACCAAGCTTATCCCGTGCTTGGAGAGAGTCCCAGTGAACAGGGAATGGAACTGGTGCCAGGCGGCATGCCCAACCGGATCAAGTTATCCAGGGGGAAAGGCAAAGGCTGGTGTGTGCTCACCTCCCCAGAGCCAGTGGGAACAGTGGTGACATCTGGACACGCCACTCCTGGTCCCATGGGACCAGGGCACACAGTGGCATGGCCCCAGTGGCATCTGAGGGACTGGGAATCAGCCAGTAACCCCAACTCCCTGCTGCGCCCTGGCTGTGCCCGGCTGACAGTGCCACAGGGAATCCAAAGTCCTTCATGTGCATTCCCTCTGCCTCTCTTTCCCCAGGTTTCCCTTCTGGGATTTATCTTTACTGCAGATTAAACCGCATCACCCCTCCCCACCATTCCTGGAGCGCAGGCCACAGCCACTCCCTGTCCCATGCCCTGGGCGTGGGAACAGGGTCATGCCAGCTCCCAGGAGCACAGGGATCCCGACAGGAGGCTGTGAGGAGCCAGAGGTTGGATGTGATTCTCTCAAACCTCTTCGGGAAGCTGCAGAGAGAGCAGTGTGTCTCCCGAGCCACAGCTGGGCTGATATATGGCCAATGTATGTTCTATGTGTGCCCCATACATGCCCTATTCATATATATATATGTCGAATATATGCTTTATATATGTGCTATATATGTCTGAGCTGTTTTGTATCCTATATATGTTCCATATGTATCCAATATATATCCCATATGTATGTCCAATAAATATCTGACATATATCCAATATATACATCCCATGTGTCCAATATATATCCTACATGTATCTGATCTATATCCCATATATATCCAATATATATCTGATGTATCTCCCAAATATCTCCAGTACATCTAAACCCGTGTCCAATCTTTGCCCCACACATCATCCCCCAGGAGCACAGGCAGGAGCTGCCAGTGACACTTTATTCCCTGCAGTGACAATCCCGGTGACTCCAACCCCTTTTCTCCACCCCTCACAGCTTCATGGTAGCAACCGACCCCAGATGGAGCTCCAAGAACTGCAGGATCTCCTGCCAAGACTCCTCCTGGGCCCGGGCATGGGGCTGGGGCTCTCCCCCCCATGCCACTGGCCTGGGAGTGCCTCGGATGCTGGAGTTGCTGCACAGGGGCGATCCGGGGGGCTCGATCAGGTGCCCGGCGCCGGGATAGGACAGGATCCGGCCGCTCTCCGGAGGCATCCGCGCCAGCGCCAGCTCAGCAAAGAGCTTGCTGTTGAAGCTCCGGTCGGCCTCTCCCACCACAAACAGCACCTTGCCCCGGATCTTCTCCACCGGGATGGCGGAGGCGCGGTAGGCGGGATCCCGGGGGTCGGCGAAGATGGCCGAGTTGTCTATGGCCCCCAGCTCGGTGAACTGGATGCGCTCGGTGTAGTAGGGAATGGGAGGGATGCGGAGCTCCTTATAGACCAGCGGGTTTCCGTGCAGGAAGGCCGTGCCGTTGATCCACACTGTGGCCACCACCTGTGGCAGGAGGCTGGCCATGGCCAAGGCCACCTCCGCACCTTTGGAGACGCCCACCACGCCCAGGCCGGGGCCTCGGACCTGAAGCAAGAGGAAATGAAGCCAGCTGGGAAAATACACAGGGATAATACATTTACTGGGACATCCCTGAGTGCCAAGACAAGGATGTCCTCATGGGATACCCCCAGTCTCCAGGACATCCCACTCACTGGGATATCCCCAGTCCCTGGGACAACTCTGGGACATTACCCCTGGTCACCTGGACATCCTACTCACCAGGATGAAGATGTCCCCAGGACATTCCTGGTCCCCAGGACAATCTCTGATCACCTGGACATCCTGCTCACCAGGTTGCCCCCAGTCCCCAGCACATCCTGGCTCACAGGTGCCTTTCTCCACGCTCCAGGACTCACCTTGGGATGACGGAGGAGCAGCTCTGCCGCTTCCTCAAAATATTCCAGGTCCAGCTGGGCCAGAACTCGGGGCAGGTCGTCATAGGCGAAGAAGGCGAGGGCCAGCACGGCAAAGCCTCGGCTGGCCAAGAGCCCTGCCCGGAACTCGATCAGCCCCCCCGCGCCCCCAAACAGGTCAATGACCCCAGGAAAGGGGCCTGGACCTGCAGGAAGACCGGGAGAATGTCAGAGATGGGGAGCCACCGGTGCTGTCCTGCATCCATAGTTGGGCATCCTATGGGGCACAAGGTCCAGTATCCTGGGGATCTCAAGGGTGGGCATCCCAAGATCCTGAGGTTTGGCATCTCAAGGATCCCAAGGCTGGACAACTCAGGGACCCAACTTTGGGCATCCCAGGGGTCCCGAGGTTTGTTTTCCCAGGGGCCTCAGGGCTGGACAACCCAGAAATCTTACGGTTTAGCATCCCAGGAGTCCCAGTGTTGTTTCCCAGGGGTCCCAACACTTGGCATCCCCGGGATCCCAAGGTTCAGTATCAGCATCCTGGGCTCCCAAGGTTCAGTATCCCAAGGGAATACTGGCTGGGTATCCCAGGGGTCCCAAAATTGGGGACCACAGGGGTCCTAAGGATGAGCATCCCGCAAGTCCCAAAGTTTGATATCCCGGAATTCCCTGCTCCTCATGCTCACCAGGAGGCAGGAATAGGGCTCCACGGACCCTTCCCTCGCGGATGGGCACCCTCTGCACTCCGGGGCCCACGTACCAGCGCTCGGCCTCGCAGGATCCCAGGGGCTGCTCCCGGGGATCCATGCCCAGGCAGATCCCATCGAACACTTCCAGCCGGACACGGAAGGGGCTGCCGGCCACATCCCGCTTGACCAGCCGTCGGAAAAGGGTGTCGGGCTGCAGGAACCAGAGGAGCCCCATGGGCCAGACCCCAGTGTAGCTGCCCCCCAGGGCGGCATGGAGCCCAGGATCCACCTCTCCCGCTCCGTCAGCGCGGAAAAAGGCGCGGGATTGGAAGCACTCGCCCTGCTCGTCCTTCAGCCATGCCCGGAGGGTGACGAGTTGGGATGGGGACAGTCCCCGCACCCGGATCTGCACCGGCCGGTCAGCCAGCGAGGACTGCGGTGTCACTGTCACTTCCACCATGGTGCGCCTGGGAATGGGAATCACCCTGAGTGTCCCACGGGGATTGCCACGCCCAGGAGGGGGCTGGCGATAGGGCTCTGTCCCCAGGGATCCTCACGGGGGACCTCCAGGATGGGGTTAGTGGTCCAGATAGTTCTGCTGGCATCCCTCCTTCCCTGTCACTATCCCTCTTTCCCATGCCCGCATCCCCTCGTTGTCCCTGTCCCCTCCTTCCCTGATCCTTGTCCCCTCCCTTCCTGCTCCCTTCCTTCCGTGATCCCAGTCGTCTGCTTCCCTGTGCCCACCCACTCCTTCCCTCTTTCCCTTTTCCCCATCCTCTCCTTCCTCACCACCTCCCACCCTCTGACCCCAAACCCCCGCTCCAAAACCCACCCGCAGCCAGGACACCCCTTTCCCATGTGTCTCCCAGCCCTGGCATTCCCAGCACCCACTGCCCCCTCTCCATATCCTCCTCCCCACCCGGGGGCCGCAGCAGGATGGGGATCCAGGGGCTCCGAGCCCCTGGATGGGATCCTGTGTGCACCCCGCTCCCTCTCCGTGCAGCACGGCAGGCTGAGAACAGGGATGCTGGCCCCAGTCCAGCCCTGGGAGGAGACACGCGGTTCTCCCACATTCGTCCCAGAACGGCCCGAGCTTCCCCTTCTCTTACCCCGCTGGACAAAGCCTGAGCAGTGGGCTCTGCAAAGGGAGAGGTTCGAGGATTCCTTGGAAATCATTAACCCGGGAATGGCGAGGGCAAAGCCCTCCTGCCCCATGACCCCAGGCCAGGCTGGCACGGGCCACACCCTGAAATTCCTGCCAGCCTCTGCTTTCCTTGTGGCACCCCCCCCCATCCAGGACATGCATGGGACACCCCATCCCAATTCTGAGGGCCACCCCCCTAAACTGTCATCCCAGGATGAAGCTCCAAGACCCCGCATTCTCATCCCAGGGCTTCACACCAATTCCTGAAATCCCATTTTCCACCCAGTGCACCCCTTTGTCCCCTCATCCCCTCCATCCCAGCTCACAGCCACATCTGCAGGAATGCAGAAAGGGGTGTTCATGGACCAAGAAAAACCAGGAATGTTAAGAAATCCACGTGGATTTCCAACTTCCAACCCCCACCAAACTCCCCAGCATCGCCCCCCACAGGAGGGTGTGTGACACGGTGCCCCTTTCCTTGCTGACAGGATCCAGGGCTCATTCCCAACAGGAATTCCCTTTTTGGAGAAAGGGGAACTACAAGGAATGAGGGGCCATGGCACACTCCAATCCTAGGAATGCCTTAAGGAATGTCCCAGCTGGAGCCCCCAGTCCCCAGAGCCACTGGAGGCGAATCTGTCTCAGTTCCTATTCATTTTTATAAGGAAAAGGCAACTTTGGGAAAGCAAAGTTCTGTTCCAGCCTCTGGCACGGGCCACATCCTGATTCCACAGGGATTGGGTGATCCAGCAGCTGATTCCTGTGGAATACACCCCCTCAGCTCTGTCCTGTTGTGTGTCCAACACTGAGTGTCCTGGCAGTGATTCCTGCCTGTAAGCTGAGGAAAAACCCCTGGAAAGGAGTAGGATCTGTAGGAATCCCGGCTCATTCCGTGGCTTTGCTGCGCCTCACAGGTGTCTTCTGGATCATGGCCAGTGTATCCCGCTTTTCCACCCGCCTCAGCTGCTTCTTCTTGGCCCTCTTGAGCTTCAGGGGGTTCCGGATCTGGGAAACGAGAAGAGAGAGGGGATTTCATGGAATCATAGGATCCTGGAATGTTTTGGGTTTGAAGGGACCTTAAGGATGATCCAGTTCCACCCCTGGCCATGGGCACCTTCTGCTAGTTGCTCCAAGCCCTGTCCTGGAGCATTTTCAGGAATGGAGCAGAGTGTGGGAATGAGGCAGGACGGGATGGATGGCTCCCAGCCTCCCACCACTAAGGATTCAGGATCTAGAAGGGGATTTATCCCAAAATAAACCTATCCCTTCCCCCCAACCACAGGTGAGGTCTTCACTACACCTTCCCCGAGCTCCTGATGGAAAAGCCATGATTTTCCCACATGGATCCCCATCAGAGCCACATTTTCCTTGCTCTTTTATCACTCAGTTATGGTGTTCCCAAGCTTGGGAGAACACGGGGACATGCTTCCAGCATGTCTGGCTTTGCTGGCAATCTCCCAGTCTCGCCAGTATCTTCCAAAGATGGAGACAGGGAGAGGAACTGGAGTAAATCAGAGGCTGGTCCATGAGGAGCTGGAGGTTGTGGGGTGTTCCCAATGCTGTTCCCAGCCGGCAGAGGGGACTCACCACTTGGACAATCTCGGCTTTCTGCTCGTTTTCCAGGCGCCGCTTCAGGTTTTCCTCCCTCCGCCGCTTCTTTTCCTGTGGGAGCAGCACCAAAACCTTCCCTGCAGATCCCTTCCTCCAGGATTAAACCCAGACCAGCGCCAATGCCCTCCCAAGTGTGAAATCTGCCATTCCAGCAGCTTTTCCACCCCGGGCGAGGCTGCAATTGACCCAGGGAGTTTATTCCGAGTCAATGACTTGGAGCATGTGACCGTTACTGCCTGGATTTGGCACCAGCACAGGGAATTCTCCATCCCAGCTGCCCTTTTCCACAGCTCTACCACAGCTCTGACACTCGGGAAGAGGGCAGAGACATGGGATTGAGCTTGGGAAAGATGGGAATTCTCCAGCTCCCCAGCCCTGTTACCTCTTTCTCCCTCTGCTTTGCTTCCTCCAGCTGCCTCGCCAGATCCTGGACCAGCTTCCTCTCCTGCCTCTCCTTCATTTTCCGTGCCCAGGAAGTGCGGAGCGCCTTGTCCTGGATCATGTGTGAGAACCTGGGTGGGCACATGAGAGGTGTTGGCTCCCCAAAAACCCCGGGATGCAGCCGGGGCCACTTCAACTCCTCTCCAGAATTCCATGAAACTCCGCCAACCTCCGAGCATCCCACCGCATCCCCAGCTCCTCGGCATCCCCTCCAAATCATCCCTGTCACAGCTGGATCCTTCCTAAAGCTTATGGATACCTCCGGAACTCACTCACAAGCCCCCGAGAGCCCCCCAAACAATCCTAACCCCCTCAAAATTCCCCCAGACCTCATGACCCCTCAGACAGCCCTTCTGGAGCGCAGAGCCCCCCCAAGAACTGCGCCCTCTATTCCCGCCTCCCTTCCCACCTCTTCTTCCCGGGATCCTTCCACACCCGTCCCGACTTGGGCTTGCCCCGCGGGATGGCTATCACCGTCTCCTGCCGCTTCTTGCCGCCTTTCCGCCGCCGTCGAGCAGCAGCCGGAGCCGAGGCGGCCCCGCTGGGCCCCTCGAAGGTCGCTCCCGGTCCCGGGGTCGCCCCGTTCTGCCCCTCCATGATCCACGCGGCCCCCAAGGCGTCGCAGAGGGATGACGTCAGAGCCGTGCTCCCCACAGAAACGCGAAGCCAGAGCGCCTCCCTGGCCGCCATCTTTGTGCCGGGCAACACCCTCCATGCACGGTTGCGGCCGCCATCTTTGTGTCGGGCACGGCCGCCATTTTTGTGCCGGGCAGCACCGCCCAGCACCGTGACCGCCGGTACCGGGATGTCCCGAACTCCTCCAAACACAACCGGGGCGAGCCCCCCCCCCGCACCCCGAGTAACCCCTGGAGACAAGCACGGGCGGGGCTGGGGGAGAGGTCTTTATTTGGAACCGAACACGCTGAAGGCATCCCAGGGCTCTCCGGTACCGGGGACCCCTCCGGTATGCGGCATCACGTGCGGGGCTTGGCTGCGGCTACAGCGCCTGGGAAAGCAAAACCAGGGAAATCCAGGGAAATTCTCTGGGAGGCACCCAGGAACGCCCGGATTGGAGGCGTTCCTTCGGAGGAAGGAAGGGGTGGATCAGCATTCCAGGGATTTCCAGGGATTCCCAGGGATCCCCGCCTCCCTCACCAGCTGGGTGTATGTGTGCTGCCGGACTGTGTCGTATCCAAACGCCAGAACCGCCACGGCCACGCAGAATTCCAGGAGGCCGAGGATCACCAAGGTGGAATCCAGCATGTTGCTCAGCATCTGCAAGGAGGAGGAGAACGGAAAGATCCCAGGATCCACCACCTGGGCCCTTGAACACCTCACCCGGAGACTCTGACTCCCCCGTGCAATCCCGGGTGTCCATACCTTGCTGTACGTGCTGAGGCACCATTCCGGGAGGATCTGGAAGGGCCTGGACTTATCGCAGCCGGGAATGTTGCGGGTGATAGCCGTGCCATGGATCCCGGTGGCCACCAGCGTACCCAGGACAACTCCGACGTTGACCACACAGCAGGTCTTGACCTGCGGGAATCACCTGGTGACATAGACTCTGGGAAGGGCTGCTTCCCACATGGATTATTCAACTGGGACCAAAGATCTTCTGGAGAAACCACCCAGTTTTTGTCCCACTCATCCCACTGTGATTCCAAAGCCATGAGGGTCTCCTGGACCTTCCATCCCCCTCATCCCACAGTGACTCCAAAGCCATAAGGGTGTCCTGGACCTTTTCTCTCCCTCATCCCACAGTGACCCTGACCCCCATCCTGTCATCCTGTGCTCCATGTGGGAGAGCTGGGCACTTCCCGAGGGAAACACTGGCCTGTGGATCCCGTGGGATGAATCCAGGCTGTGGAAGAGTCTTGGCAGCTGCTGGAAGGGACAAAAGGAATGGGGGGACATGTTGTCCCTCCCAGCCTGGATCTTACCAGCACAAGGCTGTCTCTCCTTTCACTTTCCACCAGCAATGAGCCCGAGACCAGGAGCTACTTGGAAAACAGCAGGAATTGGTGTCAGCAGCAAGGCACCCTTCCCTGTCAGTCTTCCCAGTGTCCCTCCATCTGGGATTTGGGGTTCAGGGATGTACAAACACCCCGGAATGTGGGGGGGAGGGGGTCAATGGGCACCTGGTGACCCTGGGATATTGTCCTCAGTCCACCAGGATTCCCTGATATTCCCATGATTTCATCCCAACTTACCAGGATCCCCAGCCAGAAGAGGATCCCACTGGCCACAGGGAGGGAAGGGTTCCTGTGCTCCGACACTGTCAGGATGATCCCAAAGCAGATGTGGACGATTCCAGTGAAGATGTGGATGGTCTGGGGAAGGATGAGGGAGAGGGATCCTGGATCCCGCTGCCGTGAGATGCATCCCACCCCAATCCCACATCACTGTGCCAGGAATGGACTGGGAGAGGTGCCTGCCCCGATGTCCCCTCCACTCAGCCAGGGAGAACCTTTCAGAAGGACAATCCCTGCAGATCCCCAACCCCTGCTGGGCCCCTGGAAGCCATGTCTCACCCCCAACACCTTGGGATGAGCCCTCCGGAAGACTTGAGTTTGGAATGAGGTCCTGGCAGGTGCCTGGGAGCCTGAGGCCAGCTGGGCCGCCCGGGGATCCGTGGCCGGGATCACCTCCGTGATGATCCTCACGCTGCCGGCATCCGTCACTGTGGTGGCTGCCATGGTCTGGGAACGAGCCCAGGAAGCTGAAGGAATTCCCAGGTGCCTTCTTCTTCCTCTTCCTCTTCACCACAGTCCCTTTGCTGTCCGAAATCCCCGGCAGGTGCCGGCCAGGCAGGGACACGCTCCCGCTGCCCTTTGCTCCCTGCGGGAAGCTCGCTCATGGAATTCTCGTCAGGGCCCTCTTGCTCAATGAGACAGCTTTGCCAATGGAGGCTCCCAAAATCCTGCACGGGAAGAGGGAGGGACACGGAACCCCTCCCCGGGCTCTGTAGCTTTGGGAAGGGTTGGTTACTTTTCCCTCGGGATGCACCAAGACCCCCTTTACCAGCATCAAGCCAATCCTTTCCACCCCAGATTGTGGATGCTTTGCTTGGGAATGATTCCTGCAATTAGCTTGGTACCTAACGAGGTGTCCATAATCTAACTCTGCCCACTTCCCAGGAAAAACTGGGACTGAGACAGGAAACTTCATAAAACCTGTTATAAATGAAGCTCCTTTATTGCCATTTTTGGGAATTCTCCCTCCTCCATCCCTGTGGATTTATCCTCAGTGAGGACACACAGGAGGGATTCAGGGATCCCTGGCCATCTCTGTCGGGAGCCAGAGGGAAATGAGATGCTGTTATTTATGATGGGAAGTGGGAGCTCATGCTGGGAATGGAGCCACCACACATGGTGAGGGGATCCCGAGGGATTCAGAGGCCCCTTCCTGCCTCCATCCCTCCTTCCTCCCAGAAAACAGCCATGTTCTTTTCTCCAGGAGCATTGGGATACCCCATGCCGACCTGGAGGACCCCCAGGTTTCCTGAATGTGTGCAGGGTAGGAATTTCTTGGAGGAACGGGAATTTTTAGTTCCAGGATTCTGGCATCGCCCCAACACCTCTCTCTCTGCCTGGGAAAGCACAGTACCCTCCAGCTGACGATTTCAGGAGCAGGTGGAGCAACTTTTGGAAGTTTTTTCCTTCCCTCTGGCTCTAGAGGGAGCTGAGAGGCCGCGTCTGGAAGCACCGAGATTCCAGAGCCCAGGCGAGGCTTCCAGCCCTGGAGCCGGCTTGGAACAACCTGGGTTAGTGGGAGGTGTCCCTGCCCGTGGCAGGGGGTTTGAACTGGATGATCCTTAAGGTTCGTTCCATCCCAAACCATTCCAGGATTCTATGCCCTCCCCGTGCTCCCACATATCAGGGAATGGGACACCCCCTCCAAACTGGCCTAAATAATATCCCAAAAAAGAGCTGGAAGAACAGACCTGGAAAGCAAAGAGCAGCAACTCACGTCTCCATCTCGGCTCCAATGGCATTCCTCCATCCCACCCATGACCTTCCTCCATCCCGCATCCCTGATGGAAGCGTGCACTTGGCCTTGTAAAGGGCTGCATCTGGCAGCACGGCTTTCCAGGAAAAACATGGACATGGATGAGATTCAGCCTCTTCATCACATTCCTGATGCCTCAGAGCCTTTAATTCCTGCTGGTGCCTCATCCCTCTCAAAAGTCCAATCCTAACAATCCCTGGGATCTTGTTCCAGCCCTGGGAAGGAACACTTGAGCCCCCGTGGAAATTCTGGGATCCCCTCTTTAGCCTTTAGGCAGCCAGGGTATCCTCCACCATTATCCACGGCTCAGATTCCCAGCCAAAGCCACCCTACACGGTGGATTTCCTCCCAAATCTGCCCTTCCAGATTCCTACAGCATTCCTGAAGTTCCAGCCTTGCAGCCAGAAACAGCCGTGACTGCCCTCAGCCCCCAAAACCTCACTTTCCGAGTGTGTTATCCATGGAAAAAGCACTTTCCTCCTTCCTAAATAAACGGAGGTCCAGCTGGGGATGGCAGGAGCCCAAGGTGGGATGACAGGATTTGGTTTGGAAGTGGATTTCAGAGGAGGTAAAGCTTTGAAGCAGATGCAGGGAAGCAGCAAGGCCAGGCGGTGGAGCTTTCCAACCTTTTCTTTGCAGGAATTTTTGGCTTTATAGATATATACAACACATTCCTTGGATTTTAATGTTCATTTTCCTATTTTCTAGGACAAGTTTTGGATAGGGGAAGCCTGGCTGGATGCTCAGGGGGGATCAGTGAGACCTTCTCAAATTCCCTCCCACCAGCACAGGACAAAATTTATGAGCCTGGTGGAACCAAAATTCTTTTTCCAACCCCAAAATCCGTGAGTTTTTTTCCAAAGAAAATAGATTACGATGAAGAAAAGCTCTCCAAAGAAACTTGCTGCTTCCTGGGACAAACTTTATATCCCCATAAAAATACCAAAAGTCAACATTTTGCTTTGCTTCCAGGTGTTTCTGCTTCCCACAGGGCTCTTTCCATACTGATTCCAGAAGGCAAGTCATGTTTTCTGGGAAAGCTTTCAGGTTTTTTGGCTTTAAACATCCCTGTGTCCATCCTGGGTTATGGAATCCGGAGCTGGGAGCAGGTAGGAGGTTGGGGGTGGGGGGCAGTGCTGCCTGCTGGGGTGATCCACACCTGGCATTTGGGACATGGTGACATTGCTCCCAAAGCCTGTCCCAGATGTGTCCATCAACCCCTGCACGTGACATTCCAGCCTTTGATCTGCTCATTCCCAGGAAAACTCCTGAGGCTGCACAAAAGTTCCATTACTTCTCCAAGGCTTCACTGGCATCAGCTTCCCCTGCAATCCTGGAATGGGACTTTAAACACTTCCAGGGATGGGGCAGCCACAGCTTTCCTGGGAAATCCATTCCAGCTCCTCACCACCATCACAGGGAAGAATTTCTTCCCGATATCCCATCTAAACCCACCCTCTGGCAGTGGGAAGCC